GGATTTGAAATGAGAACCAAAATGAATATAAGGAAATAAAGCATTGATAAAACTAAAAGCAGAAAATAATAAATTAGAAAATAAAAGCTATTCAGTAAAACTAAGTGAAAAAGATAAAACTTTGACAAATATGATTTAAATGAAGGACAAAATTAATATAAATAATAAAATGAAATAGATGACTAAACTGAGTTTTTTTAATTATAAAGAGATATGCATGGAAAAGATCCAAAAATATAAAAACTCACACAAAATAAGTAATTTTCTAGGAAAATATAAATTATCCAAATGGGCCAAAAGACAAGTAGAAACTCTACAAAGATTAATCAACAATCATAAAAAGACTCAATAAGAGCAAAAAAATTATATTCCACAAAGGCTAGAGGTCAAAAGAATTCCATGGCAGAACTCTATCAAACCATCATGGAACAGATAATTCACATCTCAAACGCAATATTATAGAAAACACAAACAAATGGGAAGCTACTCAGTTTATTTTACAAGACTAATATGATCCTAATATCAAAACGAGAAAATGCTAGCACAAGAAAACTTTGACCTCGTCATATATGAACTCAGATACAAAAATTCCAATAAAAAATTAGAAAGCTGAAAGCAGCAGGGAATTAAACACTATTATATCAATAGCCTTTATTTCATGAATTCTAGGGTGGTAAAAGTGAGAAAAATCTACCATACAATTCGCTCCATTGATAGGTTAGGGGAGAAAAACAGTAATCTCAACAAATACAAAAAAATTGGTAAAATCCAATTCATTATTTGTAGACATAATTCACATATCACAAAATTCACAATTTAAAGTGTATAATTCAGTGGTTTCTGTTAGATTCACAAAGTTATGTAATCATCACCATTAATTCCAGAATGTTTTCATCACCCCAAAAAGAAACTCCATGTCCATTTTCAGTCACTCCCCAACCTCTCTTCTCTCCATATCCTCTGGCAATCACTAATCCATTTTCTTTCTCTATAGATTTGCCTATTCTGGGCATTTTAGATCTACAGAATCATCAAATATAGGCCCTTTGTGTCAGGCTTCTTTCACTTAGCATAATATTTTTGAGGTTCACCCATATGGTAGCATCTAACTTCATTCCTTCTTATGGCTGAATAATATTTCATTGTATTAATAGATTCCATTGTCGGACAAACAGGATTTCCTTATCTACCTGTTGCCTAATGGACATCTGATTGTTCTCACTTTTTGGCTAGTATAGATAATGTTGCTATGAACTTTACATACAAGTTTTTATATAAACATGTTTTCAATTCTCTCGGGCATATACCTAGAAATAGAATTATTTAACTCATTTTTATGATCAAAATGATTAGCAAACTAGATACAAAGTATACAGTAAATATCGTTGGTGAAACATCAGATGCAATCCAATAAAAGTCAAGAACAAGATAAGGATGCCCTTATCTTGCACAGGATGTGTACACAAGTATCTCAGTATTAATACTATATTAATACTATTCAACACTGTCCTCAATGTCATAGACAATGCAATAAGAGAAGGGAAAAAGGCCGGGCGCAGTGGCTCACACCTGTAATCCCAGCACTTTGGGAGGCCAAGGCAAGCAGAATCATGAGGTCAGGAGATGGAGACCATCCTGGCTAACATGGTGAAACCCCGTTTCTACTAAACATACAAAAAATTAGCCAGGCATGGTGGCGGGTGCCTGTAGTCCCAGCTACTCGGGAGGATGAGGCAGGAGAACGGCGTGAACCCGGGAGGCAGAGCTTGCAGTGAGCCAAGATCGCACCACTGCACTCCAGCCTGGGTGACAGAGCAAGGCTCCATCTCAAAAAAAAAAAAAAAAAAAAGAGAGAGAGAGAAAGGAAACAAAATAACATATAAGTGACAAGAGAAAGAAGACGCAAAATTGTGATTATTTGCTTATGACACATTGAAAATCCAAGAGCATCAAATAAATTATTAGAAGTGATAAGAGAGTTCAGCAAGAGAGCCAGATAAAAGTTAACACAGAAAAGTCAGTAACTTTCTGAAACACCATGTATCTGTTAGGGAATGTGTTTGTACGTAACAAAAAAACCCAAGTCAACAATGCCTCAAAAAATTAGTGCTTTACTTTTTTCTTCACACAATGAAATTCAGCTCACAGGTGTCAAGGCTAAGGTCTCCAAAAATCTCTTGATCTTTCTTTTAAGGCTATATAGTTCTAGCCATTACATCTGTGTTCTATGTAGGGGAAAGAGAGAGAGAGGAAAGAAAAAGGTAGTGTGAGCAAAGTCTACCCCCTTTTAGAAAAGAGCTTTTCTGGAAGCTCCACCCAGCAGCTTCTGCTTGCATTTCATTAACCATAACAGTGTCACATGGTTACTCTATGCTGAGAGTCTGAATAATATACAGTTTGGCATACTACTGCCACAAACAAAAGTGCAGCTCTGATTATGCAAACTTGTCTGCCACATGCCAGTAGTAACCAAGTAGAAAGTGTAATAGAAAAAATAATCCCACTCAACATATCAACAAAAAACTATAAAATTTGTAGGAATAAACCTAACAAGGAATATAAGATCTTTATGGAAAAAACTTTTAAAAATGACTAAAAAACATTTTTTAAAAGGACTTGGAATAAACAGGAAAATATATCATACTTATAAATTGAAAGACTCACTTTTGTAAAGGTATCAATTCTTATCAAATTAATCTATTATATCAATTTAATCGAAATCAAAATCCCAATAGAATTCTCCACAAAACCTGAAAAACATGATTCTAAAACTCATATAGTAGAAGGTAAAAATTAACAGGACAACTTTGAATAATTAGGGAAAATTGGCCCTACTGATCATCCAAACCTATGCTATTGGCATAGAAATACAGTACTTAAAATATGGAATCCAGAAACAGATTACATACACACAAACACACACAGCTGGATTATAAATCTCACGATTTTTTTAAGCAATAGATTGAAAATACAGGATTACAACTCTCACTATTTTTTAAGCATTAGATTAAAAATACAGAAGAATATATGTATGACTGTGAGTTCTTGTGTTAGAGAAAGTTTTTCTTATACAACACACACAAGAAACCAAAAATATAAAAGAAAATTTTTTATAACTTTGACTACCTAAAGATGTAAAACCTCTAGAAGACTGAGATCCCACAGTAAAGATTATTATTAAATCAGGAGAAACTTTTTATAACTTGTATAAAAAAAAGAAATTATTACAATCTTAAACCTAGGGAATTTTACACAGAAATTTAAAAATGAGTAATATCAAAAAAATCCAGTGATAGAGGGAATGGTGAGAATATATATGAAACAAGATTGACCATGAACTGATAACTATCAGTGCTGGATGATGAGTATACTAGGTTTATTATGCTACCCTCTCTAGTTTTGTATATGTTTGAAATTTTTTCATATTATTATTTATGTACTAACATGGCAAATGATCCAAGAGTGTAGAATGAAAAAAGCAAGTTTGTAAATAAACAAACTATAATACTATCTGTATTTTAAACATCGATATTATGTATTATAAATTTTCTATGGGCCAATTTCCTTAGACCAGTTTTACTAATTTATATTTTCCCAGAAAATACATATGTAAATGTCCAGAAAAGGTCTACAATATTACAAACCAAACGAGTATCCATAGTTACCTCGGGAGAAAAGGGAGGTACCAGCATTGTGAATGTTCATCAAAGGGAAAATTTAGCCTAATCTCTAAGGCTTTAATTTTTATGTAATTACAGTGTAAGAGTTTATGCAACTGCATATATTTATCAAACTCATAGGCCTGGAATTGTTCTGCATCCTATCTGTGGTGGTGGCTACATGGATCAATACACGTATAAAAACTCATAGAATCATACAACAAAAGAAGTAAATTTTGTTATAAAGTTTAAAAATTTTTAAAAATACAAGCAAAAAAACCTCATAAAACTGCCACTTTAAAAGGGTGAATTTGACTCTATGTAAATTATACCTCAATATATCTGACCTTAAAAAATAGGAAAGAGTTTAATTTTTTAAAAATCATAATTTATTTAAAAATAAGGTATAAATTAATTAGTGGTATGATATGCTAATTGCTAAAGCAGATTATAAGGCATACATGTACTATATATGCATGTATAATATGATCCCACGTATATGCCTCTATCTTATTTCTGCATTAGAGATTACAGAGACTTTTTTTACTTACCTGTATTTTTTTCTGTGATAAACACATATTATTTTCTACTAATAATATTTTTCAAGGTTAGATGAGTGGGCACTGGCCCAATGGTGGAGACTCAATGTGGAATCTCTGCTGTCTAAGCCTGGACTTCAAGAGTGAGTGTCTGCAGTGGCCCAAGGGAATGCAGTGGGGGGTTCCTGTGGTAACAAATAAGGAAACGTGCTTAAGGCCCTGACAGCCGTGTGTCCTGGGTATCTGATCATTTGGCTACCACAGGCGTGCATGAAAGTGTTTGCCAAATTGAATATAGCTCTTAAGAACTTACTCTGAGGCCCCATCAGGCACTGTCAAAGATTCCCTTCCCAGCACACTAGAAAGCATTCTCTACCGGCAGATTGGTCTCTGTCAAATTATTTATAGGAGATTGGTTTGCATACTCAAAATGATATGAATACTTCTAATTATATCCAAACATGACAAATGTCACTACAAACTATGCTGAGGGTTCATGTTGCCAAATGTCTTGCCCTAACAAAGAGGAGGTAGTTGCAGCATCAGCACGTTAGTTCCTATATAAGCAGGACTGACCCTTGTGCCTTATCTCCACCAGAGGTAAGTGATGAGGGCCTTGGAACTCCAAAAACCCCAGGTGGGGCAAAAGGGCTGACCTCGTAGCTTTTTGTGAGCATTAAACTGCTCTCTCCATCTTAACTTTTGTCTTCATAGAACCAAGCTTTAGGGCAGGGAAACTTCAATTCTGTAACTATAGGACTGGAATTTCAGAGCATCACTAACAAGAAGCTTGTTGTTTTACAGTGTGGAACACTTCTGAACCTGCATTTTCATCTGGAACTCCAGAGGTAAGACTTGGCTTTATTAATTTATTGACGACAGAGGGGATATAGTCTAATGAAGCTGTGAACAATCCTTAATTATACACCATTTCCATGTTTTTGCAGTTATGTCAGGAAAGAGTGTTTCTGAATGAGTGTTTATAAATGCTAGAAAATAACTTTTTCATAATGTCTTGTTCTCAGAGACTATCCTCATTTGAGTTCTAAGATTAAAAGACCATTTAGAACAGAATTAGCTTCGACAGTGAGTTCTCAGCTGTGCTTAGAACTGTCCAGTGGCAATAGACTAGTCCATGCCAGTTTTCTTCTATGGCTAAGCATTGAACACTTAAGACATTTTATAGACACTTTTGAAGACCCCAGAAATATTCTTACCTAAAAATATAAACACAAACACCGTTGTTAAAACCATTATATTTTAGCTACCTTTGATGATTCATTATTTGTTGTTAGAAAGACTTATTATTATTTATGGAAAAGGTCTCAAGTGTTACATCCACGGGGTGTAATACCATGACTAAATTCCATGACTAATTTAAGAGGGATTCTGCCCTTCCCTAAGTAACTTACTAATTGAAAATAAAGGAAAAACTCAACCAATCTAACATGTCCACATTGCAGAGGCCTATCTATTAATCAGAAGACAATGGCTTACATGCATGTGATGTACTCTTAAATTTTTTTCTCTGTTTTCTGGATGGAAAGAAAAGAACCCCATGGAATTTATGTGAGCAGAAGGGCCTTTGTGCTGAAGCTCTCATTCCTCTGTGGTTAGATCTGTTAACTGACAGCTGAAATCTCTCATGTCAAAAAAGATTTTGGAATCAAGGCAATGCTAAGTCTGTTGGGAACAAGCCAAATGACAAAAAATCCAGAGTACTAGAATGTATTACGTTCTTCTAACAATCCACTGAGAGATACAACACCAAATATCAACATAAAGATGTGAAAAATAATTATTTGCTTTATGAGAGAAAATGGTCATCTTAAAAGGCAAAGGTGTTTTGACAGCTTTGAAAATATCAACCTTCATTTGAACAAGACAAACTTTCTTTTCTCATTGTGTGATTGTCCTGGCATATGGCATAGACAAACACTATGCAGAAAGAGGAGAGGGAATTAACTAATGACAGTTGCTATAAAACAATCCATCAATAGTTTTAGCTGCAGAGGTTTCATTCTAATTCAGTTGTAGGTACCCTATCCCTGAGGATCAAGATATGTGATCTGGAAAGGAAACTCACAGTCCTAAAAATGAAATCTCAAATTACAGTCTGACTCCAAACTTGTCCTTGAGACTGTGTTAGAACACTGGGGAGTGCCAGTTTGGAGGAACAGTTACAGCACAGGCTATGTTCAACATGCCTTTCATTTCAAAGCCTAACTCACATTTGTGACTTCTGCTTTTTATTTCTCTCTCTCCCGTTTCTTTCCTCCCTAGGCAGAATCCTTTGCTGAATAAATCGCAGCCATGAGTGCGAGCTCGGATGCTGAGATGGCTGTTTTTGGCGAAGCTGCTCCCTATCTTCGAAAATCAGAAAAGGAGCGGATTGAGGCCCAAAACAAGCCGTTTGATGCTAAAACATCTGTCTTTGTGGTGGAGCCCAAGGAATCCTATGTGAAGAGTGCTATACAGAGCAAAGAAGGAGGGAGAGTAACTGTAAAGACTGAAGGTGGAGCAGTAAGTGAAAACAGGGAGAAAATCCTCCCCATTTTATTTCTCGGTTCAAAAGTTGAAGCCTAACTTCCTGGGAATCTCCAAGCCTGTTGCCAATGCAAACACCCTTCTAGGCAGTGTAGAAACATCAGATGCGGAAGGCAAAAGGAATTCACAGCAATAACTTCATGTCTTCCCTTCCCAACTTCACACAGGACCTCACCCCACTATGTATGGCCTTCATAATCTCCCTTCAATTCCCCACTTCCTAGTCTGAATCTCCAAATGTGAGAGAAATGAAAACAAGCTCCTTCTATCAGAAGTTAAATATTTACTTAGTTAAATAATGTATTAATATCCCCATTACTTCCAAAAAACGAAGTTTCTTAATGAATGAAAGAAAACAATAAAAATTTAGCCTATTAAAATAAGAACAAAAGGATACAAAGTGATAAATCTGGGATAAGAGAATGTGGGAGGAAAAAATATTTTAAAAAGATAGTGTCCTAGCTCATCATAGGAAACAGGTTTTCTTAACAGTTAAGCTCTGAAATGAATATATTTCATGCCTTTTTAAAAAGGACATTAAATAATATAATGAGAAGTATGTGCGATTATACTTTTACACCAAAATATACAGGCAAACATAAACCCTACCTCCAACCATCAAAACAAATTGGTCTCAGCCAGGGGCAGTGGCTCATGCCTGTAATCCCAGCACTTTGGGAGGCTGAGGCGGGTGGATCGCCTGAGATCAGGAGTTCGAGACCAGCCTGGCCAACATGGCGAAACCCCGTCTCTACTAAAAATACTAAAATTAGCTGGGCATGGTGGTGGGCGCTTGCAATCCCAGCTACTCGGGAGGCTGAGGCAGGAGAATCGCTTGAACCAGGAAGGCGGAGGTTACAGTGAGCTGAGATTGCGCCACTGCACTCCAGCCTGGGCAACAAGAGCAAAACTCTATCTCAAACAAACAAAAACGAACTGGTTTCTTGCTTACTCACCAGACTCTAACCGTCAGGGAAGACCAAGTCTTCCCTATGAACCCTCCGAAATATGACAAAATTGAGGACATGGCCATGATGACTCACCTACACGAGCCTGGAGTGCTGTACAACCTCAAAGAGCGCTACGCAGCCTGGATGATCTACGTGAGTGTCTGTAAACACCTTTTTATTTCATGTCTCTCTCTGAGTAAAAACAAGATCCAAATGATAAATGTTCTGATCTTCGCAGACCTACTCAGGCCTCTTCTGTGTCACCGTCAACCCCTACAAGTGGCTGCCGGTGTACAACCCCGAGGTGGTGGCTGCCTACAGAGGCAAAAAGCGCCAGGAGGCCCCGCCCCACATCTTCTCCATCTCTGACAATGCCTATCAGTTCATGTTGACTGGTGAGTGAGAGAGGCATCTATTTACAGAAATGTGTAAATAGAATCTTTGGGGCCTCATTATATTATAATAATACATTCTAGCCACAGGGGGCTTCACTGTTTTCAAAAAACTTTCACAGCCATGACATCTTAACTCTCTTCCCAGCACTACCTCCATTTTACAGATGAGTAAAGTGAAGCTCACTGAATTCACTGTCCTTCCCAAGCTAACACAGATAGTTAAGTGGAAGGCTAGCTGAAACAATTACTAGACCACTGTAAACATATTTATTGTTTTCCATATTTTTTTACTTTCCAATTTGGATAGAAAAAAATGTTCAAATAGACTTTTTAAAAATACCCAGGTTCATAGCAATCAACGAAAAGAGTTATCAGCCACAGCTGGAAAACTTTGTGAATTCTTACATTTATTTTTGAACGACACAGCTAATATTGCCAGCCTTTAAGGGTAGAACATGAGTAAAGAAAGCTATGATTTTCCTCCCAAAGATTTGAAGCACTTTCCTCTTAAAATGAAAGGAAAAAATCTTTTCTGAGAAAAATTTTTAAATTGTATCAAGGCCTGTTATTCCTGCCTTATCAAGGTATAAACAACCAGCTTTGATATGCATTATAGGCCCAAATACACCATTAAAACCTTTTATCTTTAAATACCAAATGCACTGCCTTTGGAAATAGTTCATATTCCTGAGTTTTCTGTTGTTCCATGGAATTTTGGAAACTAAGGTGTTTTTTCTTTCTTTTTGGTTTTTTTTGCACTTGTTTATATGGTCTTTTCAAGGGGGAGAAAAAAGAGGAAGGGATAAAATAGGAATCTCCCATTACAAATTGGCCATCAGATTCTACAAGGATTCTATGCCAGTAAACTGTTCTTTGGTTGTCAACAGAAGCTAACTACCTCCCAGAAATTATCCAAACACTGGCTCATTTCAGAGGTTTTAATACTCAGCAGCTGCATTTACACAGCTATGTACACCACCCCTGCCCTCCCGCCCAGCGAGCTCTCTGCTCCTAATGGTTTGGTTTGGGGCTGCTCCAAATTGAAGGTTACTTATGGCTCCCAAACATGATTTTAGTACAAAATGGTGCAGCGCTCTAGCATCTGAGCTGCTAAATGTTATTTTAGCATTGCCAAGAGACCCGAACATTGTTTTCTTATCTGTGCTCCCACTAGACGTGATATAATCTTCCACGGTTTTGCTTATACTAGAAAACAAATCTATCTGACTAGGATGCAAAATCTGCATCGGCTTCCCTGAAGAGAAGGCTAAAGTTTTCTGAAGTCTATGTCTATATCTACATCTAAATAACATCCAGATTTGTATCTATTTTCCCTGAATAGATTTTTAGGTTCTAGAATTCTCTAAAATCTATAATCTAGCACTATAGAATTAGAGATTTAACAAATCAGCAAATTGATATAAATACAACGTATCAGTCACATAATCAGTGACACTTGTTTATATTGTTTAGAAATGCATATAAGATTACACGGAAAATAAAAGCAGATGAACACAAATATTCACAATTCCAGACCCCTTCCTTTGCCAGAAGTCAAATGAGTGACATCAAAAGCTGGGAAGGGGCCAGGAGGATATCTTCGACCTTAACTAGCTATGTACTTAATATTAGAAAAGTCACTTCCTCCTTTATCGGTCTCAGTTTTTTATCCCTCGAATGTAAGGGCTGGCCTAAGCAATTTCTAAGATCTTTTATGACTTCAGAATTCTGTAATTCTAACTGAAGTATTTATAAAGAAAATTATAGGATGTCTGGGATTTTCTTTAAAATAATTCCGTGAGATTGGGATGGCGTATAGATGATATAAAATTGGCCAAATGTTAATAACCATTGCATCTGTATGATGGGCACATGAGGATTCATTATGTTATTGTCTCTACTTCTGTATATGTCTGAATTTTCTGTAATAAATGTTTTAAAAATTAATCAAATATGTACCTTACACTCATTAGGGTGTTTACTATCAAAAAATCAGAAAATAACAAGTTTTGACAAGAACTGGAGAAATTAGAACTCTTGTGCACTGTTCGTGATCATGTAAAATGATTCAGCCACTGTGGAAACAGTATGGTAGTTCCTCAACAAATTAGAAATAGAATTACAGTATGATCTAGCAATTCCACTTCTGAGTATATACCCAAAAGAACTGGAAGCAGGGTCTAGAAGAGACATTTGTACAACTGTGTTAATAGCAGCATTATTTACAATAGCAAAAACATGGAAGCAACCCAAGTATCCATCGACAGATGAACAGATAAACAAAATGTGGTATATACACGCAAGAAGATATCCTGCCTCTAAAAGGAAGGCAATTCGGACATATGCTAAAATATGAATGAACCTTGAGGGCATCATGCTGAGTGCAAGAAGCCAGTCACAAAAAAGACAAATACTCTATGATTCCTCTTATATGAGGTACCTAGAGTAGTCAAATTCACAGAGGCAGAAAGTAGAATCATGGGTGCCAGGGAATGGGAGGAGTAGGAGATGGGGAGTTAAGAGTTTAAGGGACACAGAGTTTCAGTTTGACAAGATGAAAAGAGTTATGGAGATGAAGGGTAGTGATGATTGTACAACTTTACGAATGTATTTACTGCCAGTGATCTCTACACTTAAAAATGGTTAATGGTAAATTTTATGTTATGTGTATCTTACCACAATTAAAAATTAACAAATACAAAAAGGAATAGATGATTCCTTGCTCTCATTTTCACAAATTTTACAGTGAGAAGCAAATGGCTATTTTGGAGGATAAACACAAAACCAAAACCAAAGTTGACATCTTCAAAAAGTTACAAAGAACAAGCTGTGTTTGATCTGAACTGATTCAATAATCTTCATATTAAATATGCATTTTTTAACTGATGATTTTGAATTCATTCACAGATCGAGAGAACCAGTCCATCCTGATCACGTATGTGATTTTTTTTCTTCTCTGATTTGCAAGGATTGTCTTAGATGTTGACAATGCAGGCCATAGTTCTCTGATTTTTTCTCTGATTTCCATTTGACAGCGGAGAATCTGGTGCCGGAAAGACTGTGAACACCAAGCGTGTCATCCAATACTTTGCAACAATTGCAGTTACTGGAGAGAAGAAGAAGGATGAATCTGGCAAAATGCAGGTAGGTCTGGTAGCCAGAGTCAAAGACTCTGTCAAGGCTCTCAGATATCTGGAGCTCCAGATGTGAGAACTGCTCCCTCCTTTGCAGGGTACTCTGGAAGATCAAATCATCAGCGCCAATCCCCTACTGGAGGCCTTTGGCAACGCCAAAACTGTGAGGAATGACAACTCCTCTCGCTTTGTGAGTCTCTTGGTCACAGAGGGGTCTACTCCATCCCTAACTTCCAGAGTAGCCACGTCTGAATTATTATTGAATTACTATTTCAGTTGCATCTCTCTGTGTGTTTCAGTTTTCTAATATTAAATATTCTTTTCAAGGGTAAATTCATTAGAATCCACTTTGGAACTACGGGGAAGCTGGCATCTGCTGATATAGAAACATGTGAGTAACAGGACCACTGAAAATCAAAACAGAGAGACAACTGATTTCATTTGCAGGGATATTTTGCAACCTTTGCTGTGCATGAAGCCTGTTAAAAGGGTAGTCTGCTGCCAGTACTGCCCGTAAGCTAATGCCAGGCTTACCCATAATCCACTGAGTGCTCCCTTTGTCTCAATCTCAGACTTGATGGTTCTGTAACACATCCTAGAGAAATTCCTGCCTCAGAAGCAACTATGATTTTTTTCCAGGACAAAAGCTAGGGCTACCTATGGGTTTCCAATACATCTCTGTGGTTTGCTCCAGATCTGAGTTTTGGTAGATGTTTCCAAGGTAACCCCTCACCACAGAGTGAATCCTAGGTGATCCAAAGAAGGAGGGGACATTAGGGATCAACTAAAATACAGAGGTCACGGATCCTTCATGTGAAAAATATATTTGTCCTAGAGCAGGTATGCTTCAGTTGCTGCTCTTAGACAGTGAGAATCACTATCCATCTGCAATTGGTCATCAAGTTGAAATCTCACTGGAGCCAAATGTAATGCCCCAAATTTGACCAAAGACGTGAGTTTCATTTACCATCTCAGAAGCATTGATACTTTTTTCTAACTCGATACCTATTTCCCTCTCCAGATCTTTTAGAAAAGTCCAGAGTTACTTTCCAGCTAAAGGCAGAAAGAAGCTACCATATTTTTTATCAGATCACTTCCAATAAGAAGCCAGATCTAATTGGTAAGAAAGAACTTAAAGTCATAGATGGAAGTTCATATTTTATTAACAGTGTCTAATGTAAAATGTATGCCCTGAATTCTGTGACCCAGAAATGCTCCTGATCACCACCAACCCATATGACTATGCCTTCGTTAGTCAGGGGGAGATCACAGTTCCCAGTATTGATGACCAAGAAGAGTTGGTGGCCACTGATGTAAGTCAAACACACTAATTTTAAAAATCCATTACATATGGGAATGATAATACCAACTTACTGTAGGTGTGGTTACCTTAGGATATGTATAAATTATCTTATAAGTTAAGCTCTGCAGCCCTAACCTCTGTCCTATCATTTTTCCTGGTAGAGTGCCATTGACATCCTGGGCTTCACTCCTGAAGAGAAAGTGTCCATCTATAAACTCACAGGGGCTGTGATGCATTATGGGAACATGAAATTCAAGCAAAAGCAGCGTGAGGAGCAAGCTGAGCCAGATGGCACAGAAGGTACCAAAAGAAACTTTATCTGGGTTTAATGAGAGAATGTAGCAAAAAAAAAAAAAAAAAAAATCCTATTTTACACTCACATCTCCTTTGTGGCTGGACTTGTGACTTGTGAAGGGCATATACACATTTACACACACTGCATGCTTTCCTCACCCCCTCCCTTCCTTACATCTCCATGTCTCCATCATTTCCATCCAGCCCAAATAAGTCACAACAAACCCCAAAAGCCACTTATAAGCACAAACTATCAGACAGAATGAGGTATAATAGTGCTCCTCGTTGGCCTTGGCAATGAAGGTGGGTATATGAGATAACTGTAGGCTGCTCTATTTCAGCACTAAATAGGAAGACCCTAGGAATGGACAACAGAGAATCTGCCCAAATTCAGGGCTGGGGAGAAAGATACCCCCAGAGTCATCTCTATGAATGTGTGTATTGTCTGTATATAAATCTATAGACAATATAGGCAGCAAGTAAGATTTAAAAAAAGGAATTGAGAAAAAAGATTATATACTCTACGTATGGAAAGAACACACAATATACAGGACCTACCACAGAAAGATAGTTATCGCTCCTTAAAGCCATCCCTGACCACCTCGAATTGACATTCTTTCTTCTTCCTCTAAACGTTTCACCAGTTACTGGTGTACCTGACATGTGACATTTATTTACATTATAGTCAACATTATAGTCACTGATAGAATTTTAGAAACGGACTCTGTAGGGATCACCCAGTAAAATTTAATCTCCACATTTTTAGATAAAGAAACTAATCCAGCAAGGTTTAATAGGGAGGTGAAAAACTAAGATGAGAATCAAAATATTCTGATGTTTACCCTCTCTAACAGTGAATATTTATATTATCCTTCCACCTACACCTAATGTGTCTTAAAAACAGGGACTATGGCTTTTACTTATAAAAAATTGCAAGACTGCAATAAACATTACATAGGTTTATAGTTGATGAAAAATTTCTTTAAAACTACTTGTAATAAATCACTAAAAGTCAGTATAATCAACCAACCATTTACTGGCAACCACATGCTCTAAGATTAGAGAACCTCATTTGGCCTTTTATAGAGTTATTTAAGCTTTTTATTTAAATAATAGGTTGAATTGGAGAAAACATGGAAAGAGTAGGTAAAAGAGGATATCCTTCATGAAACATGTCCTGAACTGTGTCTCTGCAGTTGCTGACAAGGCAGCCTATCTTCAGAGTCTGAACTCTGCAGATCTACTCAAAGCCCTCTGCTACCCCAGGGTCAAGGTTGGCAATGAGTATGTCACCAAAGGTCAAACTGTGCAGCAGGTAAGTACATGACCTCAATGAATCACACATATCCCAGGCCTTCATGGCATGTCTTTGACAACACCAACAAACTTTATCTATGAAGGTGTACAATGCAGTGGGTGCTCTGGCCAAAGCTGTCTACGAGAAGATGTTCCTGTGGATGGTCACCCGCATCAACCAGCAGCTGGACACCAAGCAGCCCAGGCAGTACTTCATCGGGGTCTTGGACATTGCTGGCTTTGAAATCTTTGATGTGAGTTATCTTCATATAAATAAGAATTAAGAAGGAGGCAATTGTGGGCTTTGATGTATTAAGTATTATCATTATTCATTCACATTTATAGTGTCCATATTACTTGCCTCCAACACTGCACCTAGAACAAGGGTTATCTGCAAAATAGGAGGTAACATAATGTACTACTAATAATAGCTAACACTCACAGGGCCAGCAGTGTACACTGGGGACTTCAAAATGTTACCTTATTTAATCTTCAAAACAACCCAAGGAGTAGCTAATATTCCCCCAACTTATGTAGAAGAAACTGAGATGCAGGGAAATCAAAACACTGGCTAAAGATCCCACAGGTGCATAAGACAAATCCAGGACAGCAACCCAGATCTACAGCAGTTGGTCCATACACAAGCCTTCTTCATAGAGGAGAAAAGGCCCAAAGGTAGAAGCCTAGAGACAGATGAGAGTCTGTCTCTCCTCTTCCAGATTCATCTTACACAAACTATTTTACCTCCAGGGCATTTATTTTATCACCATCTATAAAATAAGGGAGTAAATCATTACAAAGACTCTTTTGGATCTTCAACTGCTATACTCTATCAGGTCCCTGGTTTTACACACCTGACAAGGGGGATTTGCTAAATGTCTGATATAAATAGAAGAGAAATTACCCTAACGATTTCACTTCATACATCAAGACCTTTATATTAAAGGTCTTAAGATCAGCTTTCCTTAATAATGTATCAGCCAAAGGTGAAAATGTGAACTTTATTTTGAATTGGAGAGTGGGAGTGGTAAAAGAAGTGAGGCTTACCAATAAACTCCTTTCCCCTTTACCTTTGAATCTAAACCATAACACAGGACCATGGTTGAACTTTTAATGTATACTCTTGCCCATGGAATCTTAGAGGA